TCCTCTGGTTGTTCTCAGCATTGATACCGAAAGCAAAGAAATTTAGATTGGAGGTTGCGTTGATGGCAACTGGATAAGCTGCTGGGATTACAAATACATCGTCTTCAGACAACTCAGCTCTATATCTCTGCACTTCCAAGCTTTCCTCTTGCTGCTTCTGCTGCTGCTGATCGCTTAGGCCAACAAGTTCAATCTTTGCTTCTCCTTCATTGATCACCATTATCACTATGGCCTTAGAATTGTAGTGTGGCAAAAGAAGGCCTCCCTGAATTTTTTAAGAAAGAAACCATTATTAATTAGGGTCTCAGTACTGAGATTTTCCAATTACGAAGACAGTGAATAGTAGAAATCAATTGCTGAGTTTGTCCATGTGGTTTTCCTTTGTATTACCTCTTTCATATCCACAGAACTGATGAACACGTCCAAGTCCTTAAGTTGGGGGTTTTTCTCTGGGGTCATCTCATACCACCTTCCGAATTTGTTTGAGTAGATGGGTTTGGTGTTTCTCAGGTTGAATGGTTCATCTTGGGAGGAGAGTTCTTTCCTTGAACTAGATTTGGCATGTTTCATCAGTTCCTGAATCTGTTCCCTTTTAAGTTCTACAATCACTCCCTCTTGCTGACTCTCTTCCCCTTGCTGCTGTTGTCTCTCCTCTCCAAATAGAACCCTGTTTATCTCCTTGAAGTCGCTCTATAAAAATCATGCAAATATAGATAATGATATATATCATTCAACAAATGTGAAATTTAGACAAACTACTAGCTAAATGGCAAGGCAAATATGTGGTTAATTAGATGTTGTGATCTTGCTTACATCGAAGGAGGCCTCTAGAATATTCTTGCTGAAGCCTCTCAAGTAGGATTGTTGGGCTTCTGTGCTAGATAGGAAAAAGTCCTACAGGACAAGCATTTAACGTCAAATTAATCAGAGAGAAAATGCAAGTTAGAATAAAAAAAGTTAGTTCGGAATCACAAAAATGCGCTACTTGAAATCTGTGAGGGTTGTTAACAGGTATGGCGAGTTTGATTATTCTGAGATTCTCGTTGTCGTCAGGGTTAACCAAAAAGAAAGTGGTTCCTGCAGGGATTTTCTGAGCATGGCCTTGCTCAAGAATGTAGGAGTCTCTGCTGTCAGGGTTCACCAAAGTGAGTATGGCTCTCCCTGTAATTAACAAATTGATTACCATCATTGAAAGCAAGTGTAATGATGTTGAGTGAGTAGTGATTAGTTGATTACTTACCATTAAGGACGACTAGGAGGAAATCGGCATCAGCATGGTGAGGAAGAAGGAGGGTGTTGGGTTTGGACTTGAACTCTACCACACGGTAGTTTTCAAGATTCTGAATTTGTTTGGAGCGTTGGTCGAACCTGTGGAGGACCCGAAGGTGACCATATTGGTTTGTGAATAGAGTGTGGAACCTCCTGTCGGAGCTGAAGTAGAAGGGGTTATTTTCTCCTCTTGAATCAGACTCTTGTTGGCTCTCTTGGTGCTCCCGGTCAATGCCGAAAGAGACAGAAAGTGATGCCAGGAAAAGAATTCCCAGCAACAACTGAACCCTTACTCTCAGCATAGTGTAGTAGTATTGAATATCAGTTGGGTTGGGGTATTGGATGGATGATGAATGAAGTGAGGGATCTTAGGGGTATTTATAGGCATTATATAAGAGAGAAGGTCCTTGCAACATGCATGAAGATTTGGGCATGGTATGACACGCATTTGCACATGTTGACATGTGTTCATGTGAAGAAATTGAGGTGGCGAAAGATAATGTGGTTGTGGTGATGATGGAGGTAGGCTCAGTAGCATTTGGCTGTGTGTGGACTAAGAAACAAGAACTGTATTAGGTGTTTCAAGTGCATGTTGAGTACGTGTTGGTGTGCATGGCTTTTGTCATACATGGACGCGGCATCTCGATCATCCAGTGCGGTTTTCGTCTCTATTTTGTGAACGTGGACATGGTTTTTGAAAAGATACAGTGCTTTTTTGTTGTCTTTACATCGGTCTCATTTCTTTCGATTAATTTTTCTTGCCATGAATTTACTGATTGTGTTATACGTGGCTATTTAGAGTTCAACAAAAAGAGAATAACTCATGTCGTGGACATCATTATGTTATGCGAGAATCGAAATTGAGAGGTCACTTTTCAAACATTAGACATTGGATCCCCTTCCCCGAACGTCAATAAGCTACAAAAGTACCCCAAAAGTAGTGCCATAATGGATTCTTTTAAAAATTAGACGTCGATGGTGGAGGGGGGCCGATGTCAAATGTCCTTTTAAACTCCAAAAACTAAGAGCGGGAGCTTGACTTTCTTTCACGTTTTCGTTTGGGTTTTCGTGCAGAATAATATACTAAACCATCAGAGTCAAAATTAGAAGTGACGAGGTGATTTTGTGTGATAGTCTAGATTTAAGTTATTTTAGAGTTTAAAACATTTGAATTCATTGAATAAAGTTGATGGAGTGATCAGTTTTGAGTTAGTGCTATTATACAAATTTGAGTTTCAAACCATCAATTTCAAGCTATTTTTTTTATGCAGACTTAAGATCAAGCCACTGTTTTGATTAATTTTCATTCAAATTCCTTTTTGAATTGTAGAGAGAGTTGGTTGATTGTTTTAGATTGAAAATAAATGATAAAAAAAGTTTGTAGAACCGTGTAGTTTCTGTTGGTATATGAGAATTATCTCTTTTGATAACTAACTTTGAAATACAAGTTCACACAGAATACTTCATTCTTTCTTTCTCACAACACTCTAAAAATTTACATACACCACTATATTTCTCTCTTCCTTCACAACACACTACACAAGCACTATTTTTTTCTTTCACTTCCTTGATGATGATTTTACACACACACGGTGCTTCTATTTATAACAAAGCAAAGACAAAACAATCCAAAACATTTGTGGTAGGGGAGTAGGCTGAAAAGTAAAATCCAAATTATAGTGGTATGGTGGGCAACGTAATGGATGGATGGAGCAGAATGGAGATGTTTGGAGAAAGTGGAAGACCCATGATGGGTGGGGTTGTCCACTAAGTTTATTTTACAGTTTCAAGCAGTAAAAAACCAAAAACACAAAATTATTCTGTCATTTTATCGTTCATATATG